CCCCATAGTCTCTGCCTGCCAGCCTTCTGATTCCCAGCCACTCACCGTATATGAACATCAAGTGAGAGCCGCACTGAAGGTTGTTAATCCCAGTAAAAATGCAGGTCCAGATGGGGTGCTGGGGATAGTGGTAAAGACTTGTGCCGATCAATTAGCAGAGGTCCTGACAAAGATCTTTAACATCTCCCTGTAAATGGCCTGTGTTCCATCATTCTTGCAAACAGCCATTATTGTCCCAGTTCCCCAAAAAAACAGCAATTAACTACCTAAATGACTACAGACCGTGTAGTCGTGTTAATGTCAATAGTGATGAAATGCTTTGAAAGACTGGTTCTCCACCACCTTAGGACATGCCTCCCACCAAACTTTGACAAACATCAATTTGCCTACAGGTGGAACAGGTCAACAGACGATGCCATAGCTACTACCTTACATACTGTAGCGAGCTATCTGGAGAAACCCGGAAATTATGTCAGGATGTTTTTCATTGACTACAGCTCGGCCTTCAATACTATCCTGCCCAGCATGCTTATCAAAAAGCTGACTGACTTGGATTTTCTCTCTTCCATCTGCGACGGGATCAAAGAGTTTCTAAAGGACTGACCACAAACAGTGAAGGCTGGGCCTGTCACATCCACCTCCCTGAAGCTTTGTATTGGCTCCCCACAGGGTTGTGTGCTCAGTCCTTACCTGTACTCATTGTACACACATAATTGCGTATCATCTGACCCATCCACTGTGATCATTAAGTTCGCAGATGATACTACCATATTTGGTCTCATCATAGGTGGAGATGAAACAGCGTACAGGAGGGAGGTTCAAAAATTATTCTCATGATGCCTAGAAAACAACTTGTACCTGACTATCAGCAAGACAAAGGAGATAGTGTTAGACTTCTGGAAGAAGAGAGAGGAACCTGCCCCACTTTATATCAAGGGGGGCTGGGTGGAAAGAGTTTCCTCCTTTAAATTCCTGGGAGTCTACCTCAGTGAAGATCTTACCTGGAAAATCAACACAACCCAGGTGGCCTGAAAGGCCCAACAGAGACTCCATTTCCTTAAGGTCATAGCCAGTCGCACCAACAGGCTGAAGAACAGTTTCTACCAGTGGGCTGTCAGACTCCTGAACAGAAAATAACTTCATGTCAACATAGTATGATAGATTTGCAGGGCCTGCACATTGTTCAACAAGGTCACATAGTGTAATAAGATTGGGACTGGGTTAGGGGCTTCTGTCCTCACTGTGACTTGTGTTGGGAGGGGGTGCACCAAGGGAGGCTCAGCCAATTTCATTGTACACATGTTGTACTTTGACAATAAAGGTAATAATAATATAACAAGGCTAAGTGTTTGAAGAGATTTTTTTTTATGTTGTATATTGAGAAGAGGAATAAAAGTTTGATCATACTATTTGTTCTCTTATGGTTTTGGCTATTTGGAATCTGTTTATCCTTTTCCCACTACTTCAGCTATTGTCTCATTGGCCTAAATATAATTTTTCATTGACACATTGTATTTGATTTTTTTTTATCAAAAGATAGTTGAAAAATAATTGGTCAACTTTTGAATTCTTAAAGATCTGTGAGTTTGATAGTGCTCCGGCCCATTTTTTTGTCTATAGCAAAGGACACTAATTTATGCAAATTAAAATGCTTACATAATAAAATAGAAATATGTCTCTATCTTGTGCAGCATTTGTTTATTCAATTCTATAACTGCTGACAGATATTTAACTGTCCATTTATCTATAGTTTATTCAAAAGCAGAATATTCATTTGTTACTTCTTTTCTGTTTCCTAATCAGTTTGTTCTGATCATTCACATACGATCATATTTATCTTAGTTCTCTCCCCCCGCCCCCCATACACACACCTGTTCTTCTCTGGAAACTTCATTTGAGAAACGCTCTTAAAATCATGTTTCAATATATCTTTGGATTGTGTCAGTATATTTATTTTCAATATTATATAATTAGTGTGGTTTTTAATTGCTTTGTAATATTTTGTTGTTTTTCTTGTATATTTTCAAGAATCAATCTGATTGGGGTGTTATATAATTGTTGTAAATAAACCTTATGGTGCTTTCCTCCTAGCCTACAAATACATTTGAAAGTTTGTAGATAGTTCATAGTATTCTTTTTAGAGGGTTTTCACATTAAATATGCAAGCCACCTGTTACAGTTCTTGTTTTCTTTACTATCTCAATGTATTTTTACAGTTTCATATTTTTATTTTATTTTTACTTTTAACAATTCCTACTTGGAAGATAAGTTAAATATAACTATAGGCAAAACCCTATAAATGAAAAACCCTCTCTTGTAATATATTTGTCCAATGAATGTATATACAAACATTAGTTTTTGTTTTGTTAATTATCTCAGTACCAAGGTGAGCATTTCAAAGGTGGAGAGTGGTTGGATGTCAGACAAAAGCTGAAGATGTGAAATTGATTGGTGTGGTCACTTTTCAACCAGATGTCCCAGTGCCACTGGAGCAAACATTTTAATGGGAAAATTATGGACAATTATGGTCATGCAATCTTCCTCTTAGCAATGGTCTCACTTAGCAACAGATTTGCCAATCCCAATTGTGCCCGATAAACAAGGACTACCTGTATTATATTTCTAAATAGTGAAAATAAACATTTTCTAGTTGATTGCTTAAACAAGACATGACTTGCAAAAAGACTTGCCATGATAATGTTTTATTGGTCTTGACCACAATTAAATTACACAATTGCTTAATTGTGTTTTATGCAGTTTTATTGATTATTTATATATAATTACTTATAAATAGGTAACACAACACTATGGAAACAGTTTGAAGTTGCAATGTGGGATTCATAAGGAGATAAATAGTATTATATGCAATAATTTTTCCTTAAAATTTGTGGCTGACCGATGATGATGATTTCAAGGAGTCCACCCTAAAAATAAATAGGAGCAATTTTATATGGTTATTGTATTTTTTTAACTCTTTCTACTGCCTAACTCATATTGCAGCCTATAAGTACTCCAGCCTATGTCCTTAGTACTATTTTTCTTCAAAAGCCATCTTTCAGAGAGATATAACTGGAAGACAAAAACAAGAGCAAATTAAAGTCAATATTTTCTAGTAACCAATGTTAACAGATATCTAGGAAATATTTTTTGGAGAGCTTAGCTGCCTATTTTAGTTATAAAGTATTCGTTATTTAAATAATAATGCATTACCATTCATCCTTAATTTCAAATAATTTGTGAATTAATTAGAAGTTAGAATTAGAATTATTAATTAGAAATACCAAACCTTCCATCTTTTTACTGTGAGAAATTGATAAAAATTGATTTGGCATATCTTCCTATATGTGCTATGTTCTGCTAATATATTATCTGTCTAAATTTTGAAATTCACAATGCATACTCATTGTGAATAACTCACAACTCATTTTCTTAATTCATTTTCCTTTAATATCAGTTTTTTACAAACTGTTTTTAAAACAGATATTTGGAGCAAGTAATATACAGTTTTTGTAGTCTGGTAAATATAATATATTTCAAAGTTGGAATAGTATCTTGTTACTTTTAAGATTTTGTTGTATGGTGTTTGCTACTTACATAAAATGAAAATCAAATACCGGCATTGTGAAATTGATTAGAAAGAATTCAGCTTTGATTTGCTGATATAATTTATTTATGAAATCCTTTAGAGAATAGATATGTTATGGAAAAAAATTAAAAACCAAATTGTTGTCAGTAAGAAATTGATAGCTAAGGAAAAAATTTACAAAAACAAGCGAAGAGTGTCTTGTGGAGTCCCTGATGCTGTCTGAGTATGGCTGTTGTAGGCATTTAATTATTGTACTAGGTAACATCATCAATTTACCCCTACCAAAACTGGCATGACAAGCTAACAGCCCACCCCATAGTTATTAGCACTGATGATGTTACCTACTTGCTTATGAAACATCTGTAAACAAACAACCAAACTCTTGAAGGACTCTCCAGTTCAACCCTAAACTACATATATTCTCTTCTCTTGATACTGTGTCCTAAGTGTAAACATTATTTGGAACTATTTATGTTTCCTGGAATATGCAACTGTGTTATATTTAACTAGGACTTCCTTAAAGGAGCATATCTTTTTTTGAGACTACAGTGGTAGTCATGCAGATTTTTTAGAAAATACATATCTCAGATTAAAGAAGTGGTCACATATCAGTGATATATAACTGTAACCTATTGTTGCCTTTATTCCATCTCAGACGTGTATTTTCTGAGATGTAGATAATCAGGTAATCCTCGACTTATTACAACTGAGCCCAATTTTACCTTTGTTGCCACAATTGTTAAGTGAATCATTAGTGACACGATTGTTAGGTGAATCTGGCTTCCCCATTGGCTTTGCTTGTCAGAAGATTGCAGAAGGTGATCACATGAATCAGTTACCAAGCATCTGAATTTTGATCACCCAACCATGGATATGGAGCAATATTCGTAAGTATTAAAAATGGTCAAAGGTCATTTTTTTCAGTGCCATTGTAAATTCAAATGGTCACTAAATGAATCATTGTAGGTTGAAGACTGCCTGTAGCCATGTGGTATCAGCGTTTTGAGGCAGTCCAGATAAGTGCAAACCATGAGCAGTAACTGTATCTTTATTGCAAGTGAAAACCATGAGTAGTAACTGTATCTTTACTGTAAGATTACAGTAACAGCTTTGCAACTCTGAAAACACTTCTCCCTTCCTTTAATTTTGCTTTCCGGAAAACTAGGATAGATCCCTTCTGAAATGCTTCTCAAACCACCCCCACCTCTTTTCTGGACTGACAGTATCTTTTGTATGATGATTGTCTCCCAAGATCACTATGTATCATTACTTGTGAGTTCATTGAATAATTCCTGCTTTAAGGAACTGCAAAAAAGCACTACAAGTACTCCTCAATTTGCAACCATTTGTTTAATGATCATTCAAAGTTATAATGGCACTGAAAATTGACCTAGGATGAGTTTTCACACCTGTTACTGTTGTAGCCTGCCCATGGTCACATGATCAAAATTTGGGCATTGGCAAATGGCATGTATTTATAATAGTTACATTGTCCCAGGGTCATGTGATCACATTTGTATTTCCAGTTGGCTTCTAACAAGATCAGTGTGGGGAGCAGATTAGCTCAACGACTGCATGATTCATTTAACAACTGCAATGATTGACTTGTGATTTCGAACGGACTTCAGATAAATAGTTGTAAGTTGAGGACTAGTGTAATGTAAATTGTAGTCTAGATAGTCTAGATATAATAACAACAAAAATTCCTCTGAGAAATAAATGTAGCTGGACCAATGAAACAAAAAGTTTATGAAATATAATGTAGGATAATACAATGAAAATGGAGAAAATTTGTATTTTTGAAAGTCCGAAGAGTTGAGGAAAGCAATTTTTAAGACAGAACATTCTTCAAAGATAATAAAGATTTTACTAATCCTTTTCTTTAAAAAGGCTTCCACATTACTTTTAATTATCACAGATTTTTGATCTGGGATCTAAATTAAATTCTATTAGAGGCAACACTCTGATGCCACATAAAGCAAGCAAAAAATTGTTACCATTACTTGATAGTTCAATTTATTCTATCTTTTTTTAAAAAAATGCAAAACTGGGAAGCCAGTTAGCTAAGTTGTTTCAATTTACCATGTCTAAATATAAACTTCATAAGTATTATTTCTATCAGACATCATCAATTGAATTTGTGTCTAATGTATTAAAAAATATATTAAACACAATGTATTTTTTACAATGTCACTAGAGGGCACTGTCGCCATTTCTTGATTAGAATGTACAATAATATGTACAGTAGAAGACAAGTAGCAAACTGACTGATACTACAATTATGACTGATAGGCTTATAGACTACCAGCTAGAAATTCTATTGAATTCAGTGGGACTGGTTTCTGAGTATAGTATACATATAGCAAATTGACAATTTATTTTAGTATGTGGCAATAACTATAAAAGGATTAATTTTCTTTTTACATCACATAAAGAATCTGAATATTTGAGTATATTTTCTTGAACTGATTGTAGAAAATACTGTATATGAATAACTTTTTAAATGTAAAAAATAAAGTTTTTTTCATTGTACTTGGCTAATAATTCAGAAGCAGTATTGCCTAATTATGACTGTAACTAATTTATGTGATCAGCAATATGTCATGGCCTACCAATCTACTTTTAGATAAGGATTCCTAATTAATTGTATAATTGGATAGATAGAACATTGCTTTTTAAGTTTTAAAACCAGGTCTTCTGAATGACATGCTAGATTCTCTGATAATTCTTACTGTAGTACTGTTACTGTGATTAAAATTATCTAATTGCTATCTGGGGATATATACTTGCCTCCCTAGGTTGATAGAAGGGCATTGGTTCTTACCTGATACGCCCGTTCTCTTTGAGCTGCGAAGAGCATCCAGAAGTGGGAGGTGCTCCAGTCTCTGCACTCATAAGCTGAGCTTGAATTGAGGAACGCTCCTCTTCCTCCACATGACTCCTCCGTAGCGTTCCCCAGTTTTGCAAAGACGAGAAGAAAAAAACCGTGTTCTCATCCTAACTACCTAATGGTTCGTTGGCTGAAACAAGATCCCCCACCAGACGGTGAAATTTGGGTGGGGCTGGATGCTCTTTGCAGCTCAAAGAGAACAGGCGTATTGGGTAAGAACCAACACCCCTTCTCCTCAGAGCTGCTCAGAGCATCCAGAAGTGGGACATACCAAAGCTTGGCCTGTCCTATGGGAGGGACTCCATCTGGTCCAGAATCTCCTCAGGGTCTCTGAAGACCCGCTGTAGGACTCGTCTACCAAAGGAAGCCTCTGCTGAGGCAAAGACATCAATCTTGTAGTGTCTGATAAAAGGTGACGGGGATGCCCAGGTCGCCGCCTGGCAGATTTTGGTTATTGATGCCTGAGTGGCCCAAGCTGCCGAAGTAGCCGCACTCCTGATGGAATGCGCTGTTATACCACTGGGCACTTGCAGGGATTGTGACAGGTATGATCTAGTTATTGCTGCTCTGATCCAACGGCCTATTGTGGACGGAGATACTTTGTGACCCAGCATCTTGGGCTGAAAGAAAAGGAATAAGGCCTCCGATTTCCTAAAAGGCTGTGTGCGCTTGATGTAAATTCGCAGAGCACGTCTCACATCAAGTGTGTGCCATTGTCTTTCCCTTTCCCGCGAGGGCCAGGGACAAAAGTTTGGAAGGATGAGTTCCTGTGCTCTGTGGAAGGCCAAGTTGACTTTGGGCAAAAAGGAAGGGTCAGGCCAGAGAACCACCCGATCAGCATGAAATACGCAGAGGTCCTTTCTAATGGACAAGGCTGCGATTTCTGATATCTGACGGGCGGATGTAATGGCTACAAGGAACACTACCTTGAATGTCAAAAACTGGAGAGTTGATTCCCTTAAGGGTTCAAAGGGGTGTTTAGTGAGTGAAATAAGAACTTTGTTAAGGTCCCAGGTTGGGTACCGGTGTACAGTTGGAGGTAAATTAGTGGCTCCTCTAAGGAAGGCCCGAATACGGGGGTGATGGGAAAGGGAACCAACATTATCACAAGAGATGACAGTTGTTAAAGCTGCAACCTGTCATTTCAATATATTAGGGGATAGCCCTTTACTAAGTCCCTCCTGAAGGAAGTCCAAAATTTGAGCAACAGAAGGAGAGAGTGGGTTGATTTGAGATTTGTGGCACCATTTACAGAAAACGGACCATGTGGTGTTGTAGATTCGAGTGGTTGAGGGCCGTCTGGCAGCTAAAATGGTGTCAATGACCTGGCTAGAGAACTTTTCTCTCTTCAAGCGGTCCTGCTCAACCTCCAGACAGCTAATTGGAGCCATTGAGGATCCAGATGCAGAAGGGGTCCCTGAGACAGTGAGATCCTGTCCGGTGGGATCCTCCGGGGGGGCACTGAGGTTGCGGAGGTCCGCAAACCATGGCCGTCTGGGCCAGTAAGGGGTCACCAGAAGCAGCTCCGTTTTCTCGTGTATCAACTTCTGGATAACCCTGGGAACTAGAGCTAGTGGGGGGAATGCGTACAGGAGCCCAGTGGGCCAGGGGCAGCGTAACGCATTGTGATTTTCCACCCCATGGGATGGGTACCTTGAGAAGAATCTCGGGAGTTGAGCATTGAGTGGGGATGCAGAAAGGTCCACTACCGGTTGGCCGAAGATTGTGGCCACTTCCCTGAACAGTGACGGGTGGAGGCGCATTCTGACTGGTCTCTGGTGGCCCTGCTCAACCAGTCTGCTTGGGTATTTGATACTCCCGAGATATGTTCTGCCTTGATAGAGAGGAGATTGCTCTCCGCCCAACAGCAGAGACACCCGGCCTCCCTCATTAGTCATATTGATTGTGTGCCCCCCTGTCTGTTTATGTGCACCTTGGCTGTCACATTGTCTGTTATGATAAGAATGTGTCATCCGTGTACCTGGGGGAGGAAGCTGCGCAGGACCAGGTGTACAGCATGAAGTTCCAGCCAGTTTATGCTGCATAATTGTTCTGTTGCCGACCATCTGCCCTCAGATGTGAGTGATTGAACGTGAGCGCCCCATCCAAATAGGCTGACGTCTGTGGTGAGAGTGAGCCTTTGGGGCTCCTTGAAGTAATGACCTTTGTTGATGGCCGGTTTGGCCCACCAGAGGAGGGACGTGAGGTCCTTTGGAGGTACCCTGACCATGTGTTTTGAGTTGCTTCTGCCGGATCTCTGGTATGGAAGCAGGAACCACTGTAGGGATCTGGTGTGTAAATTTAACCACAAAGACTCCCGTATATGATGTCTTCTAAAATAGCCCTGTGTTTTAGTTCCCTTATACCATAAAAAAGCATGCTAGCCCAACAACAAATCATGTCTTCTAGTGTCAACAATCTAGTCTTTCTTAATGTTATCCATTCCTTGGCCCACATCAAATTTGCAGCTTGATAGTATAACTCCCAATTAGGCAAACCAAATCCTCTTCTAATTCTAGCATCTTGTAAAAGTTTTAACTTTATTCTTGCTTTCTTACCTTGCCATACATACTTCAACACAATTTTATTTAAATCTTCAAAATAATATTTTCCAAGCCTAATTGGTATTGTTTGAAACAAGTATAAAATTCTGGGTAGGATATTCATCTTGATTGTTGAGATTCTCCCTATTAATGACAATTGTAAGTTCTCCCATTTCATCAAATCTAACGCTATCTGTTGTTTAAGTTTAATATAATTGTTCTCTTTTAATGTACTACATCTTGATGTCAAATGTATCCCCAAATACTTAACCTTATTCGTAACTTGAATTTTCAATAGGTCTGCCAGTTCTTATCTTTGTCTTAGTAGCATGTTCTTTGTCAAAATCTTTGTTTTATCTTTGTTTATTTTCAAACCAGCCATCTCACCATATGTCTCTATCTTTTCCAATAATTTTGGAGCTGTGTCTAAGGGGTCTTCCAAAATAAAGGCCAAATCATCTGCAAAGGCTTGCAATTTAAATTCTTCCTTTTTAATTTTCATTCCGTTTATACTTTTATCATCTCTAATATTTCTGTTCAACACTTCCAAAGTTAATACAAATAGCAAAGGTGATAATGGGCATCCTTGTCTTGTACCTCTTCTTATATTGATAGAATCTGTAAATTCTCCCTCTATCATTACCTTTGCCATTTGCTTATAATATATGGCTTCTATTGCTTGAGTAAATTTTCTGGCGAAACCCATCTGTTCCAGTAATAATAACACAAATCTCCAATTCACATTATCAAAACCATTTGCTTTTCAGGATGTGCCTCATAATATTCCAAAGTGTCCAGAATTATTCTCATATTGTCTTTAATTTGTCTCTCTGGCAGAAACCCATTTTGATCTGGGTGAATAAAGTTATTTAAATATTTTTTGAGTCTTTCTGCCAAAATTGAAGCAAAGATTTTATAGTCTGCATTTAATAGAGAAATAGGTCTATAATTCTTAATTTGCAATGGATCAGCCTCTTCTTTTGGAATAAGTGTAATGTAAGCTTCTGACCAAGTTTTAGGTATCATCTTCTTTGACATAACTTCATTCATGACTTCTAGCAGTGGAAGACTCAGTGATTCTTGTAATGTTTTATAAAAATCTGCCGGAAGCCCGTCTGGACCTGGTGCTTTTCCATTATTTTGCTTCTTAAGTGCTTCAGTTAATTCCATCATTGTTATATTACTTTCTAACATTTCTTCAGTCTCTTTGGGTATCTTAGGTAGATTAGCATTCTGTAAGTACTGTTTGACTCTTTCCTCATCAATGTTCTCTTGCTTGTATAGTTGCCCATAGAAGTCTCGAATAATTTCCTTTTTCTCTTTGTTGCCATAACAAACTTGGCCTTGGTCATCTATTAACTGCAATATTTTCCTTGATTCTTTCTCCTTTCTCAATTTGTATGCTAACCATCTACCTGGTTTATTTGCATCTTCAAAGTAGTTCTGTTTAGCACTTCTAATTTTCTGTGCCAATTCTTTCTCTATTTGACCCATTTTATGTTTAATTATATCCATTTTTAGTTTGATGTCTTTTTTCTGTGGCGCTTTCTGTAGTTCTTTTTCAAATCTTTTATGCTCATCTTCTAAAACTTTAGTAGCTTGCCTTTCCCTTTTTAGATCGCCTGATCTCTCTAACGGATTTGTGGATACTAAGGAATCTTTCCGAGGACAGGAAAACCATCCCTTTCACCGTGTCAATCACCGTTCCCAGGTGGGTTAGCGGGTAGATTGAGATAGTTGGCTCTTTTTCCAGTTTATAAGAAACCCATGCTCTTGGAGAGCAGTTAGGGTAATTCGGGTGTCCCTCTCTGCTTGATGTTTAGAGGGGGACAGGATGAGGATGTTGTCCAGATAACAATGGAGACGTACAGGAAGGTTCCTAAGGTGGGCCGCTAGGCCAATCCAAAGGGAAGGGCCACATACTGAAAGTGATGTTTATTATAACAAAATCTTAGGAATTTGTAATGGGAAGGCCAAATTGCAACGTGTAAGTACGCCTCTGAGAGGTCTATGGATGTGAGCCAGTCCCCTTGTCTGGTTCCCAGGAGAATGGATTGTAACGTATGCATCTTAAATTTGCAATGGATCAGGTAGCGATTAAGTCGTTTCAGATCTAATATTGCCCTTCACCCCCCCTGAATGTTTTGGGACCACGAACAGGTGAGAGTAAAAACCCCGCCCTCATTGTGTGGACAGGATGGGTTGGATGGCCTTTATGTCAAGGAGATGCTGGATAGCGGAATCCATTAGATCACGCTTGGTGTGGTCTCTGGAAAGAGGGGATGCCATGAAGAAGTCGGGGGTGGTGGACTGAAACTCAAGGGCAAGACCGAATCTAATGGTGTCTCTGACCCAGGCATCAGAGGTAGAGGAGTCCCATTGACCGGCGAAATATTTAAGACGCCCGCCAATGGGAAGGGGGTGTCGTGGCCTATCTTGGGCACCGGAAGGGTCTGCCTCTTGATCCCTGAAAGGGCCTTTTGTAATTGCCGCCCCTTCTATTCCTGTCGCTCGAATCGGCACGATCCTGGGGTTGGGCCAACCTAAAGGATGGGGGTCTTTGGTACCTGGGTGAGAAAGGAGTCTGGTAGAAGGGGCGAAAGGACCCTCTCCAAAAGGGCTGTGAGGTTCTGGATTCTAATCTCCGAAAGAGAGGGGAGAAATTTTTTCTTACTCCGGCCCTCAGTCAGTAAGGGGTCTAGGGCTGGGCCAAATAATTTGCCTCCCGCAGTGGGAGCTGAAACCAATTTGACTTGTTCTTAATGTTTGCCTGCCAATGTCTCAGCCAGAGCAGACGACGGGCTGTGACGTGTGATGTGATTGCTCTGGTGGAGAATTTAACTGAATGGTAAGTGGCGTCGGCCAAGAACTCTGCTGCCGCCCTGAGCTTAGCGATGTCCTGATGCGCCCTGATGTTGGATGCAGGGACATGT